AACTTAATGTAGTTTAATACTCACCATATATACAGTATATATATACTGTATATATATACAGTATATATATATATATATATATATATAATGTATAAATACATACATATATTTATATAGAAGAGCTAACAGCGTGTGCGTCCGTACCTGAGCGATTCAGCCATGCGCCGCAGGTCTTCGTTCTGCTGCTTGAGTCGCTCCAGTTTTGCCAGAATCTTCGAAAGCTCTCGACTGGAGCGCTCCGGGTGTTCGCTGTCCCTCACCAAGTGGCCGCCGATGTAGAAGAGGAGCGTCCCCCAGGCCAACAGCACCAGGGTAATCCAACGCCACGACCCCGCCCACGGACGCATAGTTCCACCACCACCAGCACCAACACAGCCCCTGAAAAAGCCTCCCGGTGTTCCTGTGCACCCGCCCTCCCACCTGCCTGCTGGATGTGCCCTCACGCTCCGTCACCACACGAGCCACAGCGTCAGCCCTGGCACTGGCATCTTTGCAGGGATGGTGAAAAAAAGAGGACGGGGTGAGGCATGTGTTCGAGGCCCGGGAGTCTTCAATAAAAGGCAGCTGATGTTTCTCCTGAGATCCAGAGAAGCGTTTCCTGTGTGCGTGTTACAGCATGGCTATTGGCTGAGAGGTCTGTGTGTTGACGGTCCACTTGGCGTCTGGTCCACTCCGCCCGGCTGTGTGTTGACGGTTCCTTCCTGTTGGTTTTATTTCCAGTCTCACAGGATTTGATCAGCGGTGCATCCTGTTGAAACAAAGAAAGGTGTTGGTGTTAGTGAGGCTGAGTTTTGTTTAGCTCATATTCTGGTGTCTGTCACAACACAGTCGAGCCACAGCGTCAGCCCTGGCACTGGCATCTTTGCAGGGATGGTGAAAAAAAGAGGACGGGGTGAGGCATGTGTTCGAGGCCCGGGAGTCTTCAATAAAAGGCAGCTGATGTTTCTCCTGAGATCCAGAGAAGCGTTTCCTGTGTGCGTGTTACAGCATGGCTATTGGCTGAGAGGTCTGTGTGTTGACGGTCCACTTGGCGTCTGGTCCACTCCGCCCGGCTGTGTGTTGACGGTTCCTTCCTGTTGGTTTTATTTCCAGTCTCACAGGATTTGATCAGCGGTGCATCCTGTTGAAACAAAGAAAGGTGTTGGTGTTAGTGAGGCTGAGTTTTGTTTAGCTCATATTCTGGTGTCTGTCACAACACAGTGGCGCGGCGCAGCAGCAGCAGCAGCAGCAGCAGGAGGAACCACGGGACACGGCTCGTATAGTACCATAAAGCCGGCGGACCCAGCACAGACCGGGGCAGACAGAATGACAGACGCAGCTAAGATCCATCTGACCGGTCCTGACATCACCCTGTCTCAGCAGTCTGCGGGATTGATCAGCATGACACTGCCATTTGCATTTCCGTGGTGACGCGGTCCCTGAGCTCCGCTGCCCTGCTCGGGCACGTCCTGCCTGCTAACAAACAAACACGCAGCACTGTCGGAGAGAGATGGTCGGATAAGGACGGAGGAGAGATCTCTCAAAAGATCAGAGCGTAAAACAGCAACATGACTGAACAGCACACGACTGGAACTGGACCCCAGGATCCCAGGCCTGGACAGTTCCCCAGTCCACCACAAGGCCACACGTAGAGACCATTCACACCAACATCTACAAATGTTCACGTTAAGAGTGAATTATTTTCATAATCCTGATGGTTTTTGGACTGTTGGAGGGAAACCCATTCACACGTGCTTTCAAAAACACTGGGAATTGAACCAATGATTCACCAAGCTGGTTTTTTTCCCCTTTTCTGACCCAGACCTTGGAAAACAACCATTATTTAGCAGAATTTGGCAGCTGATGTGAAGAAGCAGCAGATGTTTGTGGTTCGTACGCCACAGAAAATTCCAGAAGCTAACTGGAAGTGACAGCACATTTGCCATTATGGAACAAACAGATCAACCTTCTAATAATGTTTTTTTTTGTGTTGACGTTGATTGAAATGTGACTTTGGGAACGATCAACACGAGCTCATGTTAAATTAACCTGGTGCTCAGATGTTTGCGATGCTAACACAGAGCTAAAGCTAACACAGAGCTAAAGAACTCAACCTGAAGCTAACGGTTTTTGATTGTGTTGCTGTTTTTCAAGTTGACTGTTGCTCTGCACCAAGATTGCCAGGTCCGATCAATAACCCACAGAAAACTGGGGGAAAAAAAAACCCTGAATCGGCAGATTTATTTGATGTGAAAGTCATGAAATGAACCCAGATGGACTTCAGCCAGGAAAAAAAAAAACAAATCCCTGTCAACACTTCTGTCACTGGTGACGTGATGAGACCAAGACTGGCAGCTGTACGTGTGCGTGATCGCAGTGAAGTATTTGTACGTGTACTGTCAACCCGGAGCGAGTACCGAGGCATACCAACGGTGACCGGCGTCTTCAAAGTCTGGGCGCATCATTCTGGCACCACAGCAGGATTTGTCTGGCACGTAGTACGGTTTGCGGAGTCGATGTGTCGCATCTGAAGGGAATCCACGCCGCACGGACGCACGGGTAACTCATCTTCATCAATTCTTTTTGATGATGTTGGATTGAGGAGGCCTGTGCAGCTGCTCCTGCCTGGGCTCGGCTCCTGGAGTGACTAACACAGGTTGGCACCAACGCTGGCTTCTCTTTATTCATGCAGCAGGAGGATGTGCTGAGCGAGCGCTGTTGCATTATGGAAAATAAGAGCTGCAAGAAGGCGGTTCATCTCCCAATAATGGAAAAGCCAAAAAAATAAGAGTAACTCTGAAACAGTCGGCACCGACTTCTGTCAGTGTGTTTCATGACTAACAGTAAACATTAGACAACACTCCTGACACGGCACTGACACACTGGGGCTTCACAGACACAGACTCTCCTTCTATTAGTGTAGAAAGTGAGGCTGAAGTTTGGAACACAAAAGGTGTTAATGATGAAGGAGCCCAGAACACCAGGGAGAGCTCGCTCATTAACGCTGACCATGTAGATGTAGAGCCGACGCCACCCTATCTCCAAGAAAGATCCAAAAGAGTTAATGAAGCCAGAACGCATCAGCCACGTTGTGTCCGCGGGCGTCACTGGACACAGTCCTGCAGCGACTCCAGCCAAGTGTACAATAATTACTGGTACACGAGAGAGTCGCAGTGAGAACATAAACAGAAAACAGAAGGAAAATTTACGACATCACCTTCAAACAAAGAACTACCTCAACCAGTCATCAAACCCCAAACCAGCCTCTTAAATCATCTGTGATCACATTGACTGGTTTCCTGGTTCTGACCAGTGCCTCCACCTAGAACCCAGCTTCATCTGTCCTGTGTGACATAATAATCAGTGATCTGAGGTCGCACGCTGAACCTGGGAACAATGGCCACAGTGGAACCTTTCACCAGAAGGTCGAGGGTTAATGAACTGTTCCTGGTCTTCAGATCAGATCAGATCTTCTTCTTCTTCGGTCCTGATTATATTCCATTGTCCTCTGTGCCGGCACAAAGGTAACGCTGCCAGAGAGTTTAACGGCACTGAAACACGAAGTCAGAAGAATTTACGAGGTTACAGGACGACGTCCGCCGTTCCTGTGTTTAAAAACAACGTGCAAGCAAAGCGAATGTGCACACGGTGACAAAACATGGAGTGAGAGAGACAGTGGCTAATTTTAAATATATATATATTAACAGCAGGGACCTAGAAATACTGCTGCGACGCACGATAACATCTTTCACGTCAGACGGTGACATTAGCCACAAAAGAGCAGTTGATATTTTTGAACTGTAACGTCGGGACAACACGCCCCTGTTTTTGTGGAGACACATTTATGAGCCGCACGTTCGATAGCTTTAGATTGCTCTGTTTTACAAGTTAAAGAAGGCGGCCGCTCGTATTGAGTTTCCTGTCAGCACGCTGGTCTTATTAAAGGAAAATGGAGCTCCGCTACAATTTATTCCACTGATGAAGATCTGGCTCTGGAATATTCCTCTGGAGATAAAACTGAAAGCCAGCCAAGCAGTGAGGATTTTCTTGCCTTTTCCTCTGAACCTCTTCCATCCACTCAAATGTTGCCTTCAACAGGCAGCTACATAAATAATGGAAACTCTAATGATGTCACAGCTCCTCGCTGTGGCACCAACGGTCTCTCAGACGGACCGGGACAAACATGCTGACAGTGAAAGTTTGGAAATATCTATTTTTTCCCCTACATCCTCTTCTCTTCTTCTCTTTCTGAGAGGAAACCTTGAACGGCAGTTCTCAGCTACCGGAGATGAAATGAAATATGTCCTAAATGGAAGTGCTTTCATCTCACAAGTTGTCCCTGTTGTTCACCAACGGAACTTTTCATCCTCAACACCTACGCACCTTCCCCACAAATCTCTCTCTCTCCTCCAGCCCTGTGTTTCCATCAACATAACTCAATATCATCTCTTTTCACCTCACCTCACTCTGACACCGAGCGCTCAGGCAGCTGCCAGACAGAAGAGGGAAGGAGGACGCCCGAGATTCATGGACGGAGCACAGAAGGCTGTGGCAGGAGAACAGGCCGGGGACGGAGGGAGATGGAGGCAGAAAATCTGCTGTTGCGACCCCTTAAGGCAGCAGCTGGAGGAGCAGTATGAGAAGTTTGAAACTCAGCTCATTAACCACAGGCCTGGAAGCAGATTCTCACAGATTCTGTTCCTGCAAAGACCATTTATGTCTGAAAATCCAAACCTGGTGAAGCTTCCTTTTTATGTCAGGTCACAGGACTTCTGTGATCGCTTTCTCAGCCTGTCTGAAGTTAAGGTCCAGTGACCTTTTGACCTTCCCCCCCGTGGACTCCCTGAGTTCTACAGATCAAACTCGTCAACGAAAGGGTGAGAAACGGTACTGTTACTGTGCCTTTTTAATCAGTTCCACCTGCAGTGATATTCAAATGGCTGCAGTGACGATGGTAAGAACAGCGCTCCCTATTGTCTGTCCCAGAACTAATTATTACGACATTGTTCAGGTCGTCTGTATCAGACAAGCAGCTCTTCGTTTTACAAAGTGCCCTTGAAGGAGCTCTCTGTTTTAAAAATGAAAGGAATCTGAATCTACCTGAAAAAAAAATCCCAAAATAGAATTGCCCCCGCAATCGGTCCAGAATCGTACACACACGTTCTCTCCTTTGAAAGTGTTTTTGTCACTAGAACGGAAGAAAACAAAAACAGCCAGTAAGTTCCACTGAAAGACTACAGTCTTTACTTGAAAAAACAAAAATCAAAAAAGGAAAACATTGTGACGTTCCATCTGAAGTCAAACAGTTTCGTTGTGACTGTAAACTGTAGCAGCACCAGGAGAAATCAACACAAATGTTTGGAGAAGGATTCGAAGCCAAAGTGCTGCTGCTGCTGCCTTTCATACGCTACACCAACCATAGGAATATTTTTAGTTTTGATTTTTTTTCTCTCTCTCTCTCTCTCTCCCTGATATGAATATCAGAGAACATCTGACTCACTCTGCTGCAGAGAGCTCCCACTCCCACAGCTGCTTCTTCACTTCTCACTTGGCTCAGAGCCCAAACGCAGAGACACCCTCAGCTTTTTGGGTGGCCCTGGTATTTGGTACACAGACACAAACACACGCCCTCACACATACACGGGAGCGAGCGGTGAATATTTCATAAGCTGCTGTTTACTTCGCAGCTACATTTCTGAGCCTGAATGTGCAGCAGTCCATTATTCTGGCTCGGTGCAAGAGCAGAAACGTCTGGCGTAGGCACAGGTTTGGAGACGGAGCAGAACACAGACCCGCGGTGAGTCATTAGGCTAAAAGACGCGGCCGCACAAATGGGCTGTAATATATATATAAAATACATGGCCCACAGCAGTCACCTCATACAGGCGGCCCATGTCATCTCAAGTGCTGATGGGAAATCAGGCTGTTTAACATCCTGTGGGGGGGGAGGGGGGGGGTTGGGGGGGACACGATACATATGGTGAGTTCAAGATCCTGAACTGTGGTGTCTTCAATATAGATGTCAGCAAATACATAAGTACATATATACACACACACTCAAATATATGTATATACTTCTATATATATGTATGTATATGTCAGTAAATACATTAGTACATATACACACACACAAATATATGTATATATGTGTATATATGTATATGTCAGTAAATACATTAGTACATATACACACAAATATATAGAGTACATATATATATATATATATACATATACATATATACAGTACATACATACATATATATATATATATATACATATACATATATACAGTACATACATATACATACATATATGTATGTATACCACCCACTGAACACTGGTATTTTGGGAAGCTGAAAACAGCCCAAATGGTAATGGTAGACTTATATAATTCCCGTGTGAATATCTAGAGGCAAATGAAGTTTACAGGACACAGGAAGATCCAACAGTGGGCCACAGCTTCCTGAACACTTAGTCCACTTCCTAAAGTCAGCCCGCTGTGTGCCAAATTTGGAACTAAGTAGTAAAATTGGCAGGTGGTGCTGAAAGTCTCAGTAAAGTTCTATCCAGGTCAGTGTTGGGCTCAGTGGAACTTGGCATCCAGTATCAAAGCCCAACTACTTCTAGAATATCTGTGTGGAGAGTTCCTTAACAGCAGGGATCGCTTCCACACAAACCCAATTTCTCAGAAAAAAATAAATAAAAATGACCCGCTTTACAAAAGTGTAATCAAACCTGTAATTTAATTAAACTTTTAAACCTGAGTGTAAGAAGCTACGCCTCGGTAAAGACGTCTTCTCAGACTTAAGATTTTTATCTTGACAGATCAAGTCACCGTAAGAGCTTTGACACCAGGATCTGGTATGGTTCACTTTCACACTGCTGCTTTAAAAGTGGACCAAATCACATCATGAAGTTACAACAGACGCCCACTGGGGGCAGCACTGGCCTTAACAAGTTCTTATCAAGAAGAAAAAAAGAAGAAAGAACTTTCCATCACTTTCAGTCACAAACAACAACAACAATATATCCACATATATATATTATGTCATCAACAATATATCAACACACCACAGCGCCCCCTCTCTACTGCCCCCCTGGGTTTTTTTTATTTACTTGCTGTTAGCTTTGTATTGCACAGGCATTTCATCATCTTCTCTCTTTTCTTTGGTTGGCTCATTTTGTCACACGATAGAAAACTAAATACCTCATTGTCAGACGGACAAAAACAAATCCATGTACATTTCCATATAAAATCTGGTGGATTCCAGAGACGTTTCTAAAAATGACCACGATCCAAACGTGACCACTGACTTCCTACACGAGACTTCTGCAGCGGCGAGGAACAAACGTGAAGTTTCCCAGCCGACAAGACCTCATTATTTCTTAGAACCAAAAACAGGAAGCACAAGGTCTGTGTTATCATGTCACTGAAGTTATATTGGCTATTCAGTACCCAGCACACACACACACACACACACACACACACACACGCACACACACTTCCTGTCTTTTCTGGTTTCGCTTCCCTGTAATGAGTCAAGACGACAGCTGACCTTTTACCGTGTGAGGTAGCAGGGATGAGGTGGAGAAGGTGGAGGCAGCGTGGGACGGTTGAAGGTCCGTCTCTGACCCCAGACTGGGGGCTGCCGACCTTGATTCAGACCCTCACAAAGTAATAACGGCTGATTGAGCGGACGTGATAGGAGCGAGCCTCCGAGGGAGGAATCACAGGACGACCGGGGGAACGTAGCGCGAGTCGGCAGCGGCGGGAACACAGGCGGAGCAGCTTCTGTTACGCTGACCTCAACGCCGAGATCATTATCATCTGAAATGATGCGCTGACACATAATGTGATACGCCCGGCTCAACTTTATATGGATTCAACAGAGATTAAGATCGCAGCTTTTGAAAGACTCGGATGTTATCAGGTTTGTACTGAGAACGAGCGTTGGCAGCAGTTCAAACTGGGCGCTGGAGGAGACGGAGGGAAATGTTATTGGTGTATCTGTGAGCCGTTTGTTTCCCACAGACTACACACTCTGCTCAGCGCTCCTGTTAGACTGCCTCCCTCTACAGTCACATTCAAACCTTGTGGTCCTGTCCTACGCTGATGATAATATGCTGGGTTTTTATTTTTTATTTTATCTGATATCTGATATCAACCTAATCCAAAAGTCTGCCAGTGGATGACATCGTCTTTGGGTAAGAGTTTGGGGAAACTGACCAACTGTTGCTACACTACAGCAGGGACAGCAGGAACGCAACAAGAACGGACAGAAAGACGTTTATCTGAGTTTAAATCCTCAGCTCAGGGGACAGCACCAGGGAAAAAAAATGTCCCAATAAAAGAAGAGATTGACGAGACAAAAGGGCACGGCTATCTCCTGGACGATAAGTTACAAATCCTGCAAACTACACAGCCCCCCCCCCGCCCCCCGCCCCCCCCACCTCGGTCGTCATCTGCCACAGAATTTACAGTCTGTGGTTAACTCCCATTATAACCCGGCTCAGGGTGAAAGTGCCCTCTCCAAGGCTGTGGCTTGAATGATTTAAAGCCCGAAGGTCGAAGTGAAAGGACGGAGCAGGGGAGCAGCGGGGGAGGAGCTTCAGGTGGCAGAGGTTGAAAGAGACTAAACCAGGAAGGAAAAAAAAAAGCCAAAAAAATAAACCCAATAAGTGTGAAGTCTGAAAAGGCGGCTGTCAGGAGACAGAGGGACAGAACGAGGACTGTCCCCTCAAAGAGGTCTGGGTCCAGAGGAGGACATCTATGAAGTGAGCAGTGAGACTGTGTGTCTCACTGCTGCTGCTGCTATGTTAGCTCCACGCTCGTCTCACACCTTTGGCACTTTTTTGTTGCTCTGATGCCCCTAAATTTCCCCGACTGCAGAAAAACCATCGGCTGTAACGGGTGACACATTTATTCAACCCTTTATTTGGCTGAAAAAAAAAAAAAGAAACAGAAGGAGGAGGAAATCTCTGGCAACTTTTGGAGGCAGGTGACTGTAAAATAACCCCCTCAGCATTTGTTCAAAAATTGTCTTTCTACTAAAATGAGGCAGAGCAGTAAAAAGTCCCAGAAAGGTTTCAGACTTTTGTTTGTTGTAAAGGAAAAGATTTGCACTCGTATTTTTCTCTCAGTCCCTTCTTTAAAATCTTGGGAAAAAAAGCTGCAACATGTACGAAAACCTCCCTGTGCTCTGTTATATAGACATATATACGCGCATATATATGTAAATATACATATCGACACACAAATACATATATATATATATATAGGAAGAGAGTATATGTAACATTTTTCCCTAATTCCCCTTTTAATCTATCTATCTATGTATATACATACACACATATATGCACAAATATATGTATACATATGTTTATATTCACACAATCACTTGGAACCATACGTGTCACATAACTTTTAATCTATCTATCTATGTATATACATACACACATATATGCACAAATATATGTATACATATATTTATATTCACACAATCACTTGGACCCATACGTATGACGTAAATACATATCCCAAATCAAACAATATAAACCATTTTGTTCCCAGCCTGCTCAGTAGCGCCCACACCAGGTCCCAGAAAACCCAGACAGAACAAGGTCAGCCGTGGTCACCGCTGATTTCTTGTTTCCTTTTTAACATTTCTCTCGAACGGCTTTGATTTTTTTTTTGTTTTTTTTTTTTGAAGAAACATCACGGCAGCGGAGAATTGGAGCCACTTCCTCGCGGCAGTTCACCCAGAGTTTATTCTGGTCTTTGCAGAAAAAGGACACTGTCAATTAGAGCGGGGATGTTTTTGCGCGGCGGCGGTGGCGGCGGCGGAGACTGATCACATTCAACTGCAGTCAGCCTCCACTGACTGGACGCGGATACACCATTGGTTGTTAGCGTAATGAAACTGACAATTACAGGCTACGGTGGCTTTTCATAACCGCAGGCTTATTTTAGTGGAGTCATCCAGGCTTGGCCCTCAACGCTACAACTCTGCATTCCTCTAAAGTACAATAAAAAAGACAGAAAAATCATTACAAAGAGGAGAAAAAAAAAAAAAAAAGAAGCGCACTAACTCACCTGTGGGGTATGAACAAAAAAATCCAGGATACAATTAAAGAGAAACAACTGTGCACTACTGTTCTCCTATTAGAGGAGGATGCAGCCTGTCCTCCTCACAGCTCAGCAGTAAATGGAACCTGTTGCTGAAATAAAATCAACCCACAGCAGATACTGGGCTGATGGAATCACACGTCCAAACACAATCCCACACCTTTTGGTTCGACAAAACAGAGCCAAGAAAAAGAAAAAAAACAAACGCCCAAAAAAACCCAGTGACTAAATGAGAGTCTTTCTCTGAATCCAGCTCCGGCACCACTGAGGCCTTGTTAGGACCGTGAAGCTGCAGCAGGAGTTTACACAATGTGGACTGTAGGGGGGGACGGAGGGGGAGGGAAGGGAAGGGGAGGGAGACTAAACACTTCATCTCCAACTGGGAGCAGCTGCATCCTTGATTCAATAACAGCGTGAACATGCAATGACGGACACGACCTGCGGGGACAGGGACTGGGCTCAGTACGCTGACCTCTACTGGACACTGCACGTCAGTCAAGTTGCACTTCATAAACTGTGGTTTCTGACCGTACACAGTGGGGGTATTGGAGCTGACAGCAGTGCAGACGGCGGGGGAACGCATCAATCTTATGTATGTGTGTGTGTGTGTGTGTGTGTTCCCTGCTTTGGTTTGTTGCTTATTCAAGTCCTGTGTGTATGTATTGAGCTCAGACTCAGACCGACTGACTTGCTAGCGCCTCACATTTTTTTGCCAGCGTGTTTACAGGAACTACACACACACACACACACACACACACAGCTGTCATGTGTCAGGTGAAAGCAGCCTGACTGACAGACATTACTCAGGAGTGGATATGTATTTCTTCCTTCAGGACTGATGTATGCCAAATGAATGACATTCCCCAGATTACACACACATTCCTCTCTCTCTCTCTCTCACTCACTCACTCTGACTCTCTGTCTCTCTCTCTCTCTTATTCTTTGTCTTTTTTTCTTTATACAGACCTGCGTTTGATTTATGCTGCGTCTGCGAGGCTGACCTTTAAAAGACTCAAAATCATCTACTACTGGGTAAACACAGGAAGCGCGCTGAAATTCCCCACAAACCAGTTATTCTAAACCTCTCACAGCTCGGTACTTTGTAAAAAAAAAAAAAAGTTGACAAAGTGAGAGAGTTATTTTACATACGGTATAATAAACAGATACAGGATGTTTGGGAGTTGGACCAAATGACTTCAGAAAGACGTGTTATTACAATGAGGCCCACAGGGTGTCTACATCAGGGGTGTCAACGTCACACTTCCACCAGTGGGCCACATCAGCAACACAAATCCTCTTGAATGGCCATATGAAAAAAAAAACTGCACAAAGAAAAAATATATGTATACGAAAAGGTGAACTTCTGCTGAAATAATAATAATAAAAAAGTTTCATTACATTTTGCAGAAACGATGCATGGGTGGCCGCCAGAGGAGGGGAGGATGGTTACTGGGCTGCGCACCAAGGGTTTGAGCACAAACAATGTCAATAATGCACTGCCTATTCAGCTAAACTGGGATCAATAGGAGTGATTCAGCAGAGCCCTGACGGAGCGGCCCCGTGTCAACAGCCTGGGACCAGATGAAAGATGAGACCCTTTGAACAACGCAACAACGGGAGAAACGGCAGGAATCGATGGAGAAGAGCTGATGGCGAGAGCGGAGGAGAGACGGTGTAGGAGGCAGACGGCGTCTGTCCACTGTTGCTACAGATGTTATTAGTGTCTCACTTGGTCTGCTTTCCAACAACAGCAAAAACCACGGGCCAAAACACCGCCTGCCAAGCTGTTTATATGTGGACCGCTGCAGCGGCGACAATGTATAAATATATATACACACATATGTATGTTTAAATATATATAAACACATGTATGTATAAATATATAAATATATATATAAATACATATTCATGTTTATATATATAAATAAATATATATATATTCCTATCAAATATCTTTCATCACTATGGCCTTTTGACCTCACAGCCGGGTGAGCAAATAAACCAATCCTGGTTGGAGGTGCCAAACAGGATTGGCCATAAATGTTCACAGCGAGGATAAGACTTGAGCCTATTTATTTAACAAAGACTGAAGATACAAAGCAATAATGCGGCCACCGTGAACAGCGTGTCTGCTGTAAGTACCAATAGTCCGGCAGCTGAAGGCAGTGTGGAAACAGAAGGTTCAAAAAATAAGCTTTGTTTTTTTTTGTTTTTTTTTTCTTTCTCAGTAAGCACTATAACTCTTGTGGTAAAGACTGCTACAGAAAGGTAAAAGTCCAGCTCAAGGATACACTCGCTCCGGCATATTTCCACGTCAACAATGTTCACAACATTTTTCACTACCTCCCAAATGAGAGACTTTATTTGTGTTATCTGGATTGCAGTACTTAAATAAGCCCAAGGGCACGAGCCACATCCTTACTTTGATTTGTGCCACATGACATTGCACAAATTCAATTTTCCTCTCCCTGTTTACTTTTAATGCCTTTGTAAGTTGCTCTCAAAATAAAAAAAACAGGCTCCATATAAAGTGCTGGCTTTTCTGAAACACCAAAAAGAAACATATTAAGTCACTGAAACGCAACTAAAACTGAGTCACGGCCAGGAGTGAAGTAAACTAAAAATGTTTTGCTTCTGACCGCAGCAGACCACGCAGAGGAAACGCCGTCCTGAAGCATCACTGATATTTGGTCCTTAACTCTCTCGACTCCAACTGGTCCAGGCGACAACATTCACGCCCTCCGTGTCGGGTCCCTCAAACCGATGATTGTTTATGGACCATTACAGGTCATTAAAATATATATTAGGGTCCATAAAAACATCCAAAGCCACACATTTAGATTGATGACCACTGCTTTTCCCCGATGACCGCGTGATGGACATGTGAACCAACAGGCCGTTCTGTGTGATACTGCCCTTTATTGGCTGGGTGTGTATGGGTGTGTGTATGTGTGTGTGTGCCTCATGGTTATTGATTGACTCAGTGTAATGTAAACACAATTAAGAGACATTAGGGTTTTAAAATGTTCCAGCACACACTGTAGGACGTGGCTGTTTCACAGACGAACCATCTGGAGCCGCGCACTAAAAAATACATTTTACTTTTATGGACCAGCGTGAAGCCGACTTTGTGTTTGGAATTTTATATTGATACCTTACGTGTCTGTTACGCAGACGCTGTACAGTTAGGAGCAGACTTTGACCCAGAGTCGACCTTTAACGGCTTTTATCTGGTCAACGACAGCTCTGTGTATGTATGTAGCGCCCCCCTCCTGTAGGCAGGACTAATGTAAATACAAACACATTCATTAAACACAAATCTGTGCAATTTTCCCCCGGTGGTCTCCCTGGGAAACCCGCCCCCTACTTTGGGAACCACCGGTAAAGGGAAACCAATTGCATCGCAAATTTGATATAAATTTGTTAAACAACTATTCATTTGCATACATTTTAACAAACATCAGCCACAAAAATGACGACACCTACTGCACCAAAGAGGTATGGCACGTGCGGTAAACTGAAGACATTTGTCAGAATAACTCAACTTTGTTAACGTGCTTGCCGGGGTTCAGCATTCCTGAAGCTGTAGGATGCTGAAGAAGAACAAAATATGGAGAACAAAACATTCAAAAAGCATATCAATGCTTGATATTTTGGGGGGGGGGTAGCTCCTGATAAAGATTTGAAGGTAAAAATGATTCAACAATGGTTCTGTTGGTGTTGAATCTTTAAAAATAGGATGAAAAAAAAAATAGGAACTACATAATATCTACATGAAAACGTCACCAGACGCAAAAATCAGTATGTGTGTTTGGGTGGAACGTCAGTAATGTTGGCGTTTGGTCGCGGCCCGTCCTGAGACAGAAACCTCCACCCTTCATTTTTGGTCCCTGCTCAGTCTGTCCAACGTGATCTTCCCGCCGTGTTCTTTGTGGCGTCTTCTGTTCTGCTTCCTGTCGCTGAGCTGAGGGCCAGCAGAGAGGAACAGGCTGCCAGTGACTTGGCCTGGACGCCTGGCTCCCCGCGCTTCCTAGTCATTACTGCCGGCTAACGAGCAAAAAAAAAAGCCAGAGATGTCTGCGGCTGCACTTTCCCCTGAGCTAACAAAGAGCAAGACCTCACGGGTGACTGTGGCAGCAGCAGCAGCGGTGGCATCAGCACACAGACACAGCCTCCATAATGGTGGTTCCTTATTATATGTTGTCTTGTAAAAAAAAAAAAAAAGGTGCAGCAGCAGCAGCAGCAGCAGCAGCAGGGCTTCAGCTTCTGCTTTGAATCCAGACCTTGTCAAAGCGTTGGAGGAAGAAGCGCAGGGACATTACCAACGCCGTCTGCCAGTGCCTTTGAATTAACTCTACATGTTGTGCCTGTGTTCTGTAATCTTTCTGAATGCTCAGTTGGATGTCCACCTGCTGGCTGCTACATTTGTCCACAGACACTCGGGAGACTCAACAAAAGACCGACCTGAATCAAACAGATTATGTCTGATCAGACAGAACGGTTGAGAACAGGAGTTCTGCAGGACTGGTTTTTCTGGGACTTAATGTCCAAACAAAACAAAACAAAAACTAAATTGTGATACAGTATTCACCAAATTCTGCTGACGAGGCAGCGTGTGCTTGTGAAACACCAGTAAATCCTCGGCCCGGCGCTTGTTTGACAGGTGTTTGTAATCAATGTTCTGGTGTGCGTCCGTATTGAACTGGGCTGCATTTTTTTGTTGACATTTAATTTAGTCAGCTCAATATATCGTCTTCATTCAGGCACAGAAGTCCCCGCTCCATTATCAGCTAATGGGACTAGTGGAACCTGACTTGCTCTGGGAAATCTATGGGCCGTTGTGCTCGCAAACAAAGGGTGAATCAAACCGTCGGCTACGGTCTGACGCCTCGGGCTGCGACTCCAACATATCTCCTGTGTTGAGCGCAGACCTCATTTCCTCCACGTACACTTGAAACGTGAAAACGCAGTAAAACCTCAAACCTGTACCTGGGTAATCTGCGTGAAACTCGACCATGAACTACTTTAACTTTACAGTTAGAACGTGACAACCGTCAGGACCATCTCTGACCAGTCTACGGCCCTGAAGGGACCCACGTGGACAGAAGAAGACGTGACGTCTCATGTATAAATGAGGAAGTGGTTGTCAGTCGATGTGGATCGCCGTCCCATCGATCACATGACCTCTGCTCTCCCCACAGCCCCCAGACCCCGGAGGCCCAGTAAAGGCCTTCCTGTCGTGTTTTGTCTGTTTTTTACATTTTATCTATCAGTATTTTTGTGAACGTTACATGACAGTTGTGGACGAGGTGTTGGCCTCAGGTCCAGGGCTGCAGCTCCTGCCTACGTGACACTGACGTGATTTTTCCACTATTTTGTCATAAATGAACACAAATGACTCCTTATTATCAAATAAAACATAATAAAATGCTGCTGGATGTTATTTGGTCTTTAACCCGTTAGTGAGAGACTACTCAACAGGAAACCGTGACCCCCAACTGACTGTTGACTCATCAACATCTAACTGACACTACCTCCGAAAAATGTGTAATAACACAGGGTGAGGTGCACAAAGGCACGGTGGCAGGGTATTGCACACTGTTGCACTGTGCCTCGCCCCCCCTCCCACCCCCCCGTTCTTGCATCATACAGTAAGAGCAAAGTTCATTTTTCCCCAGTCGACAGGCACACTGTTGCCCTGTGCCTCGCCCCCCCTCCCACCCCCCCGTTCTTGCATCATACAGTAAGAGCAAAGTTCATTTTTCCCCAGTCGACAGATTCAGTCTTAAAAAAAAAAATGCACCAGCAGCATCTGGTTACGAACGTGAAGGAAAAAGTACCAGAAGTCAGGGTCAAAGGTCAATATTATATCCCAGGAATTAGCCACACCTTCACGTGGGGTCAAAGGTCAATATTATATCCCAGGGATTAGCCACACCTTCACGTATACGTGCAGCGGTGGCAGGTAGTATCCTCTGACAGCAGGTTTGGAGTTTAGTCTTTGGGCTCAAGGACACTTCACAAGAAAGCACCAGAGATCGATGAGTGAACGACCTGTGGAATTCATATGAACCAGAACAGAAGGAAACAGCTGTGACCTCCTCCTCCTGAGGTGAAGTCCACATGGTGATACTTGGCACAGATCTAAATCCATCCTAACGTCCATCTTTACTCAAACACTGGGTTTGACGGACAGGTGGGAAGCCGTGATTCTGATCCTTATTCGTGGAAGACAAATTCACTGCCTGCTGTTCCAAAGCTGCGCCTTTTAAGTTCCAGCTATAGTTTAATATGTTAGAGGTCAGGAAGAGGTCAGGTGAAACGCCGACAGGAGAGACAGTGGTGAGGCTGTTTCTGCCATGAGCCCAGCAAACCACAAACCAAAGAGAAGTACCACCAGAATACAACCATGGCCAAACATACGGTACACACGGGCGTCTGTCGGCATCGGCCTATTTATGTACGTAATGGGAGAACGAATGAGGGTTTGGTCTTTTTGTAAAATGGGTTGCATTGCACTGGTTATGATATTTTGGGCACTTGGAGAAGTAAAAACGATACTTCTTTAGGCTGATGTTTAGCTCGTTTATCTACAGTAGGAATTTACTCTGAAAACCGTTCATAAAAATGTTAGGTTCTCCTCCTGCAGCCGCTGCACAGCTGATGCAGGGTCCACACCAGGTACCACCTCATGGTCCCTTAACTCATCAGTAATCAGGTCAGGGGCGTGACCTTTGACAGGCTGCACACAGAGCACCAGCACAGCCCTGCTGCCCCTGGACCAGAGCTCTGACCCCTGGTAATGGGTCTCTTAGGGGTGGGGGTGTCAGTGGGGGGTGGGGTTACAGAGTGTGGAGTTCGTGCTGCTCCGTACAGTTGTAAACGGGGCTGGCACCTCCTGCGGGGCCTCCTCCCTCCTGCTGTAACCTCTCCTCACCTCTCCTCCTCCTACACCTTAGACTGCGCTAAATTAAAGTGACAGTGTTGCCAGGGTTACTGAGCCGTAACAGAGAGTCACAGTACAGACGTGGAGGTGTTGTATGGACACGAGGTTGATGTTGAATTCAATATCATTAAGTGGTGGAAACAGGAGTTCTACTGTTGAAAAAAGAAAGGTAGGAACGAGTATTTAAAGGCTGGTTCTTCCAGTGAGGATTTACTTAATTAAGATTTTATTATACACTTATTGTCCTCCGACGGTTGCCATGGCGTTAAGGTGCTCACAATTCAAACTGGGGGAAAAATCTTTAATACAGCCCTGATGATTGACTAGCCATTGTTCTGATACTTCAGGAGAACACGAACCATTTACAGCTGCAGGGTGCAGACAAAAGTATATGATTTTTACGATAACCCAAGTCCTGGGTGTGGGTGTGTGTGTGTGTGTGTGTGTGAGTGAGGCTTCACAGCACAGGTTGGTAAAGCTTCACTGACTCTGGAATGTAAACCAGCCCCTGCAGCACTGGTGCCTGGCCTCCCCCTGGAGAATTTACAAGGAAAAGAATAGTTGACCGAGGGGGTGGGGGAGGTGAGGGGGGCAGAGCTGGTTTTGATGAAAAGGACTGTGGGTAATTATTCAGATATAAAACACTAGGCTTTTAAAGTTCTTTTATTTGGTGGTTTCATACTCTTCAGCTTTAAACATTTAAGTTCTCTCTTTTTACGCTGCCTTCGTTCCTGCAGTGATTCTAATGCAGTGCAGTAGTAGTAGTACTACGTTAGTTAATGGCACTGGACGTCTTATTACAGGAATATGTCCCAGTGTCCGTCTGGGCATCAAACATGTCCTACAGGATTGATTCATGCCATAAAAATAAACTTAAATAAACAGTTTTACCTCTAACAAACTCTTCCTGTCCACGAGGGTCACACGAGACCCTCCAACATCCAGTTCACTACACGCTTGTCCAGAGTTCCCTTTCCACTAAACGACAGAGCGATGGTGTTGCCTCCAGGGGGCAACACCGAACCCTCTTTGGACTTTTAGGACTGAAGAAGACGAGGTGAACTTGTCTTCAAGAAACAAACAAACTGCCCTGGACGACTGAGAGCCCACGCAGAAACGCTGTTTCGATTGTTTATGTCTGGAACTGCGTCAATCTCTGCATCCAATTAATTTATAAACACTACAAAAAAAACCCCAAAACTGTAGCTGTAATTACAGAGGGAACATATATTGAGAAAAATTAAGAAACGACAGGGCAACAAAACCAGTGGCGTCTAAATGGAACTGAAAAAACAGGTTCAGTAAATATTTATCATTTCTGGTACCTTTTAACAGTATCTTTGAGTTCTTTCTAAAATGAGTTTATTTAACTGTTCAAATGTAATTACGCCGTGAAGCTGAGCCTCAGCGACATCATCATCATCATTATTAGCCGACAACACGTTCCATTTGTAGCGAGTGTTTGGAATGAGTCGAATGAGTCCAGTGTAAATAAAAGGTTTGAATCTATACGTGTGTTCATTCATTAGGACCATAAATGTTCTGTAGAGCTAATGCAGCATTTCTTTTTTTTCTTTTTTCATGAAGGTTTTCATGCTGAACGTGCAGTTGCCAACTTGCTGCCACCGGTGTTTTTCATTTAATGAGGAAGTCCCCCGTCTGCAATTATTTTGCTAATATTTGTCAAAAAAACCAAGACAATCGTCTGATCTCCATTCATCATGTCAACCCCCCTTGCCCCCCCCTTTTGTGTATGCACACAGGCAGCCAGGCCTGGTTCTCCATTATTATTACCCGGCCATTGTGTTGAAGCAGAGTGGTTTTAAAAATATGCAAAAATCACAGTTTCTACTATTGTTGACATAAATAATTGAGCGTTTGTCTGGTGTTATTGTAAATCTGCCGAATATATCTGTGAGTGGAACCACAAACCAGATGTCAAAGATATTTTTCAGCCACAGTTTCTGTCATGTACGTCGACCTCTGCTAGATTATTACCGTAGCTGCTAAAGAACTGGTGCCAGTGCACCATAACAGCCGGCCGCTGACATCACTCTGCCCTCAAAGTGTCTCTCTCCACTGGGCAGCACTTAACCTACCAGTAAACACGGAGGTTATCATGCTCCATGATTTTAACTCCTCGTGAGCTTTGAGTGCTGGGAGGGGACCTGCTGCCACTGTTTGAACAACCTTAGTGGAAACACTGTGA